CCACACCCTTAAGATAAATCTTTTCTCTCATTCATTTTTTTCCTTTTCATCTGAATAAGTATCATAAGGTTTATTGATGACACATAATATTTACGTTGTTATAATTTATTCGTTCGTCACACGCCATAATTTTCTTAATGACTAATTGCACATGTGGGAATGGGGAATATGTATATTTATAGCATTGATTGTTATATATTTTATCATTTTTTTTCTTCTTACCACAAAAAAAAGAGTGGGATGCTATATTCGTATAATGGGATTACTGTTTTTTTCTCTAAATACAACAACATGATTTTGTCTATAAATACCTGATGAAAATAGTTTTAAAAAACATTATTGGTAAGTCATATAGTAAATATTCATTAGATATTATTCTAATTTTGGTTTTTTTAGATTTGAATTGTTTATTGTCTTGAAAATTATTATAATGGATTTACGAATAATTGGAATTGTTATATTGGCTGTAGTTATGGATAAAGTTTGTGAAGAATTTGTAGTTTTTGTTCAAAATGCTGTTGATCGTCACAAACAAATAACAAACGTCGATGATACAACGACAGTGAAAAAAACTCGTACGTCTATTACCCAATGATAAACATTGAATAAAACATATTTTATATTTTTAATATTTTCAATAAAAATAAAATATTAACTTTTTGAATTTATTATATTTACCATCTTTAAATAAACTTTTTTGTTATATTTATTTATATTTAAACGCTCGCAATTCTTGTTGTTCATTATATAAACATATTCTCTCTAATATTTTGTCGTCAATGATATAATATCTTTATTTTTTTACAATATTAAATTATCAAAATTCTATTTTTTTTTTACTTTTATTTATCGTTTGTTGATATTAAAAATAAAGTTTTTTTAATAATATTTAGAAAATAAATTAAAATAATTCGATTAATTAGAATAACCAAAAGTATTTGCAATCAAAGATGAAAATCTTAAATATATTTTACAATAAATTTCCCTTCTAAATTATAAACATTACATATAAAAACAAAACTATCAAAGAAGTTGTATTTATCTTTTTTGTTTGACATATAATTCATTGATAATATTATCTAACATAATAATAGAATATTTATTACAATTTTTAAATATTTTCGTATGATTTTTTAGCATCATTTTCACTCTCAATCGGGCTCATGAAAGAATGTTATTTGTGGGCTTGTCTTAATACCTTAGTTTGCCTATGTCTTAAGCACAGATCTTATTATCTACTGTTAATGAATATATAGTTGTTTTTCATTCTTCTAAAATACTCTTCTTCTCTATTCCAATAGAAAAAAAACACAGAAGTATTTGTGACTGTTGCTGTTCTGCTTTTGCTATTCCTTATTGCCTTTTATGATATATCATGATATATCAATGTCTCAAAAGATGGAAGAAAGAGAGAGAAGGGCGTGGGTGTGAGTGTGAGATGATAGAACACCCACACCCTATAATAGTCTGTAATAACTATCACTTTATAGGATTTATTTTTTCTTGTAACCTGTTATAAAACATATTCACCTTTCATCACATTATTTTTTAATATTATCGGGGAGAAATAGTTCAATAAGAAAAGAATTTTCTATGCTAGAAACACAAATTTAAAAATGTTTTTCTCTATAAAATCGATATTTGTGTTGACATTAAAATAATATTGAAAATTGTCTTTGGAAATTCTTGTCATAATCACATGAGAGAGAGATTCATTCGATATCATTCAAATCAAAGAGAATGCCCGGTTAGTTTTTTCCCTTTACTTTATATTCGATTATGTTTTTTTATCTTCATGGAATCTTGTGCCAGCTTTTTTCTCTATAATAAACTGGGAAAATTCCCAGTATATTAAACTAACGTTAATGTGTAATAAGTTTTTCTCTCGTCACCAAGCAAAATACACGTCATTTTTTTATTCTACTCTTCAATCGAAGAAAATGAACGTCATAGTACCTGAATATATTTTTCCTTCTTCTCAATTTTTTTATTTTAAATATCATTAGTTTTTTCCCTGTTATAAGCACTCTGCTTTATTGACGTCAGAGACGCAATATGCTATAAGAAAATACCTTCATTTCTTGACGACAGCAATAAATTTACTGAAGTAAAGGAAAAAAAATAGTTTTCTCTCGAGGCTATATATACTGAGTAATATTTGTTTGATGCCATACTTTTTTTACCTCATGATCACTGATACATACTCTGCGTCATAACAAACCAGTGTACAACATCTGATTAAATAATTTCCATTGAGATATTGAATTACAACTTCGTAAAATTATGAATAAGATGAAGATACTCAATAAAATCGATGCTTATACTAGTCTTTCAATGGGTCTCAATTATGATGATAATGAAGAATGCATATTCATTGCATCATCAGTTTACTCGTTGTATTTTATCGTGTTGATCTATATGTTTCAATTCAACAATGATGATAATCAACGCTTGAAACAACACTATATCCAATTTCAATATAATGTTACTGTGATGCAAGACTACCACGATTGCCCGCGCATCAATACTTGGGATTTATGGAAGCCGAAATACAACTCAAAGAATTCAGCGATATTTCGTCAACTTCGACGATTACCGACTGCTCACATATGGATAAAAAAGCGAAAAAAGGGTACAAAAGTAAAAAAAACAAAGCTTATCGATAAACTGCCCAATGTACTCAAATACATTGTCGACGAAAACACAACAAAATCACTTATCAACACTATATTCTATGAAAGAAGAAATGCAATCGTTAACAAACATGAGCTTAATATTATTAAAAAGTTTACCTTAAATTTAACTCCACCACGGGGATCACAATACGGTGATTTCTGTGCCGGTCGCAAGTCCGGAAAAAGGAGGAGCGTTAGACGGAAGGGGTGCAGATACCACCGTTTGTAAAAAGGAAAAGACGAAAAACCAACTATGAACTCTCAATTTCAAAAATCAATTCGGCTTGACCCACGCCGTAGTAAAAAGGGTTCTAAATTTGTGTCATGTAACCAAGACAGGTTAATTTTATCATCAGAGTCACTTGTCGCACTGTATACACGTCCGTCATCTCCGTTTATAAAGATTAACAAAGAACTGCGTGAAAAAGACTGGATAACAATCGATTATTACACTTACACACACATGATTTTACCATTGAATAAGCAACTGATGGAGATATCTCGTGAGCAGGATTTTCTAAGAACACGACTATTGTACCGAGGAGCAACTATGAAATTTACTGAGTTCGAAAAATTGAAAAATAATCAAGGTGGTCTTATACAATTTAACGGTTTTCTATCGACAAGCACTGAAAAAAAGGTAGCGCATATATTTGTATCACATAAACAGATTGATGATAATATTAATATCTTATATCACATTGATCTGAAATCATTAGCAGACGGCAAGCCAATGCCATGTGCGTACATACGTCATTTGAGTGTGTTTCCAATCGAAGAAGAAGTTCTTTTTGTAACAGGAACGGTATTTACTATTCGTTCTATCTCTGAACAACCCGAGAACAATATATGGCATGTATTTTTATCACTAGCAAATAAAAGCGACGAACAACGGGTGTACCTTAAGGGCTAAACAGAAAAAAAATATTGGCAATTATGAATCACTACATCGTTATGCGTCACCGACGTATTTAATGGGATATCTTGAGTTTGTTTTTCGACTTCAAAGCAGTACTATACAAGACGCATGGCTGTATTCATCTGATATTATTGTGTCTGAATAATTTTAAAACAGTTTACTCTAATAATTAAGATATAGTAAGGTAAACAAGTTCATCAATCATTTATTTTTTATTCTGAAAAAACAATACAGTGAAGCTTTCGACACCTTTCATAGG